TGTGTGTGTGTGTGTGTGTGTGTGTGTGTGTGGGTGTGTGTGTGTGTGTGTGAGAGCCTATTCTCCATATTGGATGTTTTACTGTCAGCCATACATCCAGGTTGGCCTAGACCCTAAAAGCATACCACCTTAAAGGCCTTAACGTGCTTGAACCCCAGTAATCACTGCTTGCAGCTATATTTATTATTAATATTATTATTATCACTAAGTTTTATGTGGGGGTTGTGTGATTAGTCTTACTTTTGGACAAACCCTGGTGGTGTTAGCGTTTAATTACAATGATCTCAAGGGCTTTACACTCAGCTCCAGTTTTCCTCTTTGGTTGCTGTCTCATTATGGGCTTTTTGCCTCTGGGGCTTGATGGGGCGTCAGGGACTAAAGTTATTTTAGAATTAGGCTACAATCCAAAGACAAAAATGCCTTAAGTAAATTCTTAAGAGATAATTTAGGGGGAACTCATTTTGTAGACTGTTTAAAGAAAAAAAAACTCAGGTTTAATTGAGGTCTGTGCTATATTTTGTAGGGTTTGCTGGAACTCCAGGTTATCTGTCTCCCGAGGTGCTGAGGAAGGAGCCTTATGGCAAACCAGTGGACATGTGGGCATGTGGTAGGTTGCTAATCACAAGCATTATGTGGATATTTTCTGCTGCCAATTAAATTGTATTTCTGTACATAATGTTCATAACATATCCTTTGCTTTATAGTCCGAGTTGTACTCAGAATTGTTTTCACTAAATAATTATATCTGAATTGGCGAAAGAAAATCAATAAATATACATGTATGTACATTAAGTACATTAGAGTTCAGCATACTTCAATATATAATTATAAATGGAGAGTTACAGTTTGATTGCAACAGTTGACATGTTTTATTCAGTTAAATTTTTTGTTGCCACTATGGTGATCATAATGGGCCAGCTGTCTAAATAAAATACTTTTTCATCTGATTTGCAAGTTTGCCATAAGTCTCTTGCAGTGAATATTTGATAAAGTGTGAAATGAAATCCAGAATAATATGAGAGTGGATGAAATCATGAGTAACCAGTTAGCAAATTATGTTTTCTATACTTGCTGTAATAGCAAACTCATTGTAATTCTGTAATTTAATGAGCAAACAATTGCATTAAAAGGAGCACAGTTTTCAACCGGTATCTGAACTTAAATTTGTTCAGATAGGGAAAAAAAAGAGCTCTATTTGGATATCCCAGTAAAATCACGCATGAAAAATTACTCTCACAAAATTAAACGTACAAAGTATGTCTATCAATAAGTCTGATCATGATTATTTATATATTCAGTTGTTGTTTTTTTTAACATACATATTCAGACTTTGTGACTATCTGCACCCCAACTGTCTTCTAGCCAGAATTTACTAAATTATAAAAGTACTTTAGATTTGGGTGGTTGGTAGGCAGTCTGTGGGTGGTCCATGGTCTCAGTCTGAGGCTGGAACTGTCTATCTTTTATATAATATAATAAAATATATTAATACAATATACTTTATTATACCTTATACCTACAGTGCTGTGGAAAGGTTTTTGCCCCCTTCCTGTTTTAAATTTTTTTTGCATATTTGTCACACTTAAAAGATTCAGATCATCAAACAAATTTTAATATTACACAAAGATAATGCAAGTAAATACAAAATGCATGTTTTTAAATGATTTCATTTATTAAGGGAAAAAAGCTGTCGAAACCTACCTGGCCCTACATGAAACATTAATTGCCCCCTCCTGTTAAATCATGAAAGAACTGTGTTTAACCACATTATTTTAGAAAGCTGAGTTAAATTTCACTAACCACACCCAGGCCTGATTACTGCCAGACCTGTTGAATCAAGAAATCACTTAAATAGAACCTGTCTGACAAAATGAAGCATGCTTACAGAGCAACAACAATGCAAGAACAGATGAGAAACAAAATAGTTGACATGTATCAGCCTGGAAAGGGTTATGAAGCCATTTCTAAGGCTTTGGGACTCCAGCGAACCACGGTCAGAGCCATTATCCACAA